AATTAACAATGAGACAGAGGCTACCCTGATCATTTATTTATATCAAATGTCAGGCATTTTGATAGTTTCATTAGCCCTTTAGGTGACTTCAGGCCTCACAGAGAAGAAATATCAAAGTGAAAAAAATTGGAGAGGGGGGGGGAACAGAAGAGTGTTTCAAAGATGTAAAAGAAACAGACGCAAAGGTAGAAAAAGGGTGAGATGAGTACTGTGGAAGTAGTCGAATATGACATACAGTGGGGTGATGGTAGAAGCCAGATTATCAGTGTCAAGCATTGATGTTAACAGTCAAGTAGCTTGCATAGGGAGAAAACTTCCTTACCTATTATATACGTGAGTACACTCATTAAGCACTATCTATCACAATGACTCGTTTTCAAATTAGAAATGGTTGCTAGAAAGTGGATCGGATGTATCTTCTTTAAGCTATACCTTTTCGGTTTTTTTGATTTACTTAAACGATTATCTGGTCCCTATACCCACCAACATCTCCCCTCCGCATCCCTTTCATCTTCCTCCTTCTCGTATAAGTATGACCAGCCTCTGCGGTTATCTCTTTTTTCTTGCTGTCATAGTTGTCCTGTTATATTTAAGGTATTTCTTTTACTGCATCATCTGGGCTCAATCAAGTAAAATTTAGGATATCCAGAATTAAACTGGACTTAATTTTCTCTCTTTTATATCAAAAAATACAAAATTAGTGTATTTGTAAGCGGGGAGACGAGTCTTCATGAGGAATAGTCATTGGTTTTGGAAAGAGTGGAATAAAGTGTATATAAAAAGGCTGGAAGTATTTGAGAGGATTCGCCGATGAGCGAATAGAGATTGCCGAAGATATTAGGTGTGAGCGTCTGCCAATAAATCAATCGTTATATCCACTTATAGCAGTTGTTGAATAGTGTTCTGTCTATCTTTTAGGATGTGTCAGATAATAAATTGACCCAAGTACCACCCTCCATGCCTCCTTCTCTAACCTCTCTCGAACTCGGCCAAAATAAAATTCTTATTCTTCCTCCTGGTTGGATCCAATCGTGTACTCGTAAGTTCGTACAAAATTATCTTAATATATATGATTATTTCCTTCTTTACTATCCTATTTAGAACTCAAGGGAATGATTCGTCTACTTATTACCTGTCGAAATAGGATTGTTTTTCAGTTAAGATAGGAATTATCTATATATTTCTAGAAGAAACGCCAGCTTTCTTGAAGGCATAAGATAATGGGCACGCTGTAAGAAATTTAGTGTCGAAAATTGAAATATCTAAAAGAGTGCGGAGCATGAAAGCATGGGTAGATATAAACTTTAAAATGTACAAACCACTGAGTTGAATATCTGTTTGAAAGTCAAAGTTTTAAGTTAAAGGAAAACGTTTTCCTACTATTGAAGTGCTTAAATGTTGGTTGCCACATGTACTTCCGCGCCTAAGCAAAGGGCGGTGTCGGGGCCGAGCACTGACGAATGGAAGATTAAAACAATCAAATTGATGTGTTGTTCTGGACTTCTAAAATTGAGAGTTCTAAGAGGGAAATAATATCGATTAAAGCTATGAGTAAAACTGGTCTGCTTCACATAGAGCACTAGTTCTTCGAGCTGGTTGGCCACTTAATCCTACGGCATCGAAGAGAGTACATTTAATGACAGTTCTTTTTAGAAATTACATATTTTAAGTGAAGTTTGGTTTCTTTGCTAACGCATCAATCATGATTTGTTGACGAAATGTTGCATTTCCTTAAAGCTTTCAGATGTTGAGGTGGTTACGACTTGATTACCAAGCAATCAGTTCGTTTCTTTTTGATTTGTGCGGGTTTGTTGGAAGTTGGATGTCATAATTTTTTTCAGGCACATTTCTTACAATTGATTGTTTCCGTGTCGACCTTCCTAGTAGGCTGAGTTTGTTTTCCGGGTGGAACTGGAGATCGTGTTAAATTGGCATTTATATTTATTGGTGTTTTGGTGCCAAATGATATTGAGCATATGCAATGTGATTCTAAATTCTTTGTCATTGTTGCAGTTGAGAGAAAAAAACTTTTTTTCCTCTGCGGCGTTATTTACATGAGTAGAAAAATTAGGGAGAGTTGTTTTTTTTTCATTTAGGATGTGTCCATTTTCTCTGAGCTTAGGATATCCAGTGTATACTGGGGAGTTTCCTCCAGTTCGACTTCTCTCTTTAAAACCTTTTATTTGACTGTTTGTAAAGCACAAATTTGTGCTATTTCATCTAAAGTCTGAGCTCTTAGCGGAGTTGTGTTGACGGTAGAGTGGGAGGGGGGGGGGGGGGGGGTGGATTCTGCTACTGTTACCTTCGCTGGTTCTACTGATCGTATCTGCGCAGTTGATAGCACAATATTGTTTGGTTCAAGTTCATCTAGAAGCGTAAAAGTATGTAGTAAGGCCATTTTAATCATTGTTTGCTTATTGTTCAAATAAATTGGATTCAATTCTTTCTATTGATATTTTCTACTTTTTACACCGAAACTAAGCACTCAAGCTCTACTATTGTGACGTTATTTGGGAGTAAAAAATTTTATAGCATCATTAAATCTGTTTTTTTTTATTTTTATGCTTGATAACCGCAGTTATTTTGTGTGTTGTTTGCTTGTCATGCGTAAAAGTCTGTCATTTGTTAATTTTCAGGCCTACAAGAGTTGAACATTTCAAATAATCAACTTGAAGATCTTGGAGTTACCACTGAACCTGCACTTTTGTCGCTTACACTTCTGAATCTTCATAAAAACCATCTTCGTGACATTCCTAAACTTGCCGTCTTTCCCAAGCTCATAGATCTATATCTTGGTGATAATCGTATTGAAACTTTCTGCCTGGAAAAATTCGATGGCTTAAAAAGTTTATCAACTCTTGAACTCAGTCGAAATCGTATTTCTTCTGTACCTGATAATATTCCAAATACCCTGCCAAAACTTTGCAGATTAAATCTTTCCAACAATGACATAAAATAGTAAGTTCTCCCTCTATCGTAGGTAGGTAACTATAAGCTCCTTTTTAGCGTTCCAACAGACCTGGGTTTAATGGAATCTCTCGAGGTTTTACAGTTGAGTGCCAATCCTCTCAGAAGCATACCCCAAGATGTGTTAAGTTCTGGGAGTCGAGCTCTCAAAGAACTACTTAGAGATCGGCATGAACCTATAAAGAAACCTGATTCTCTGCAATCCTCTATCAAAGAGGAAACCAAAGCAGTCGCTGAACCTCTTCAATCAAGTCCGTATGATTATCTTTCCGTGTTGAACACAAACACGGGGGTTCTGAATTGGGGTCAGGACAAGAAACAGGCTACAGGAAACAAATTTCCTAGAGGTTTTACTACGGACCCTGCAGATCAGACACTTCCTCCGCTAGATGATGAAGACACTTGGAAGTCTGTGGCCCTCAAAGGCTGCAAACCGGATGCTTTAGTCAGAACGGTAATTCTCTCTTCTCGCCAACTCAATCAATTTCCGTTAGGGTATGATCGGCTAATTATTTCTCTTGTAGTAATACATGTACTTTGATCGCGTTTTTTGCCTTTTAGAGTTCTTGCTTTTCGTTCTTCGCTTGCAGAACTAAATTTGTCTCGCAATAAATTAGCTAAACTTCCTGAAGAAATTGGTCTTTTAAGCAAATTGGAAAATCTCGATGTTAGGTATATTTAATTATAGTTATTTGCCTACTTAAATTCTTTAAGTAGCTTACTATTGTACTCCATTTAGCTTTAATGCCCTAACAGCACTTCCTGAGGCATTAAGCAATCTTTCATGTCTTGCTACTCTCAAAATCGATTTCAATCCTGGATTAGGACCAGAATTGCCCTACTCAATTTTATTCGAAGAACCTCTGAAACGAAGCCTTCGAGAAATTTCGGCGTCTGGTTGTCGTTTAACACGTTTACCCCCGGCTGAACTCATTTCAAAGGATCGAATGCCACAGTTGACGTCATTTGACGTATCCGATAATAATATCGACGCTCTGCAACCCGAACTAGGGCTTTGTACTCAAATCCAGTAAGCGTGCGTTTTATTCGTTTGATCTAAATTGTGCTGCGGCTTTCAATTCTGACTTTGCCGTTCTAGGAACCTTCATTTGAGTGGAAATAGTTTCAGGATTCCCCGGCCAAATATCGTGTGCAAGGGAACTGCTGCAGTTTTGGAATATTTACGCTTGAGAATTGCTCAATAGACTATGTTTTCCAGAAAATATTCACTTTTTGAAAGATGAATGTTGACAAGCTAATTTGCCTTGAATATAATTCATGTTATTCTCTTTCCTGCTCTTAATTTTATTATAATTGTTGGTAGTTGGCAGCTTAGAGTGATTGCAAATCAGGTAAGTGATTCGAAGACCGCCTTTTTTGAAATTTTTGGTAGTTCGATGAATTTTTGTTCAAGTTATTCGTGCATTGTCGAATTAATATATATATATATACATATAAGGCAAATCTAAGCTAGAAAGATCGTATGTACATGGTCAGGTCAGGGTTGAAAACCTGATTTGCTACTCTAAGTAAAATTATAACACCAGTTTATCTTTCTGCACTCACACGGTGTATCTTTTATAAGTGGAGAAGATTAATCGCAGAATAATGAGTGCTAGCATGCTAATTTCTTGTCACCTACTAGGCCTTACCTTTTAGAGCCTCTATAGTTTTTTTATTACTTCGACTCTATTTTGAATTGGAATTTCGATCGGCTTTACTTGTAAGACTCACTAGTTCCCGGAATTAGATCATGTGCATAATTATTTGTTTTGCGAGCCACCAAGTATGTGTCGCTTGGATATGCAAATGGCTCTATTCAATGTGGTTCCTAACCGTTCATGCTTTATTTTTCAAGGGGTGGGGGGGGGGGGGGGTACGATGTGAAAAGAAGATGAATGTGCAGATGAGAATTCACATTTCTGGAGGATATTTGAGAATTTGGCGGAGGCGAAAAATATTTCGTTTCTGATCTTCTAATCGCTTATCCATTGTATGAGAGATGAAAGTTGTTGAAATGCCTTTTTTTTCACAAATTTATATATTCTCTCTCTGATTGATCTGCAGAGCAACTTTTTCCTTGTGAGGTGGGAGTGTAATCCCAACCACTGCGATATCGCCTTGTTTTCAAATTAAGTGAATGCCATTACTCATTCACCGATCTTGAGAAAATGGAATTAAGTTTCAGTACATCTGACTTCTCTCTTCATATACTAAAGTATCCATCACTGTAGATGCAGAGAATCCGCATTATCAAATGTGAATTCGTAATCAAAATTATGGTTGTTTGAGCTCTAATAATTCCGCTTTCTTCTAACTCGATGTGAACATTTATATTTATTTGTATCAAATGGCAGGCTTTTTGGTAGCTATAATTAGCCTTTTAGCTGAATTCGAGCTTCTCAGAAGGCAGGTACATAAAAGTCACAAAATGTGGAGAGGGGGAATAGAGGAGTGATTCATAGATGTACAGGTGACAGATGTAAAGGTGGAGAAAAGGGTAAGGTGAGTACTGTGAAATGGACGAATATGACACTGAGTAGGGTCATGGTAGTTTGAAGCCAATTGTCGGTTGAGTATACTTTATCCAGGATGCACCACATGGAGGTAAGTCTATCGAACGCCCAAGTATGAACATACTTGATTTGAATAGGCCGCTAATAGCACCATGGTTATATCGATGACTGCATGATGTCATATAAGCTGTAAACTCTGTTTCAAAACCAATCAGATTCAGTCAAGTGGGGTGTATTTTTCAACATTTTCCTAATAAATCGTGAATTGTGGTCAATTTAACAGAATTCATTAAAGTGTGGGGATGCTTTTAAAACTGTCAAAACTTTTGTAAGTCAGAAGTTCACATTGTGTAGAACTTAAAAAATATAATCTCACATAGTGACCCCAGTGGTCGAACATTTTAATAACCAAAATTCATTTTTTTCTTTTGATATAATTATTTGTCTTTGACTTGGAGGTTGGACTTAGTGATTTGCGCTTGTCAGGTTGAAAATATTTTAAATATATATATCAGATTACTTCCTCTTTCTGGTCTGCTTTGTTTCGCGCCTCTGTAATAATTCCATCCATTTTGTCTTCTCAATGTAAATTCAATGTGAGTATTTTCCTTTACGTGACAAAATATGCTATCGTATTTTCAAAAAGGAGAAAATTTAGCCGACCAAGGAGGCTAATACGATATGATATATGCTATTAAACTATGGAAATCAAGTTCTGACGTCTATTTTCTGATTTTTTGTTAATACCCGCAATACTTGTTACATTAATTACTAATGAAACTGCCAGAAGGAATGCTAGTAATCCCCCCTCCCCCGCTTTAATCATTTCTAGAAATAAAATTCAATTTTCATATTTATTACTGGTGGAAAAAATATATTTCTTAGCCAGAGTCGGTGCATATTGAGTTCAGCTTCATTAATACACGTGTAGCGGATTGCTACACTATTAAGCCTGACCTTAGTCTCAGGAACCTTTTGGATAGATTCTCCTAATTACTGAGTCTCCAGAAAGAGACGTATCACAGATAAGGATAACGAATTGTGGTTTTTGGCAAAGCGATTAGTTATCAGATAACTCTAGCATAATTCGCATGAACATTAATGGCTAAATATTTGTGAGTAATGTTCTATAGCAGGATTTCTATTTGGTCATTTATGATGTGTCCCACACACGCTTTTTAGCAGAACGATCTTTGTATTCTACACATTTCTTTTTATTAAGTTCTTTTTTCCGAGTTTTCCATTTTGGTCTGCTCTGCATGATTACTACTAGAATTTATGCATTCTTTACGACTATAGAGCCAAGTTTTCTATAATTCATTTGATTCCTATACTACAGGAGTAGGATTATACAATTCTAAATACTTTATTGAGCGATTTTTTGCGGAATATATCATTTGGTATCCTCACATCCCGTAGAACATACCCTAGTGCCTGCTGGCTTAGCATGATTTCTTACCATGCGTGAGATCATCGACCAGTCTTCATTTAAGATCTCAAACCATTTTAGGTGTGATTATTTTTTCATGAATTAATTCCCTTCGTTCTTGCGTCTCAATCAGACGCATTTTGGTGCTACGAACTAGCCAAACAAACATGTTCGATCATAAACACATAAATTTTCGTAATGTGATTAAAAATGTATCAATTGGTTAGTTCTCTTGCATATACACATTTGTCATTGGGTAATTAATTAGCAATAAGTAATATGTATGAAAGACAGTTCGTAATGTTATTATTATAAGAAAGGATTAGTGCTTTTGGATGGAATTCGATTTGTAGCCGGAGGGGACGCGTAAAGAGTACCATATTGCGATTGGTCACTTATTGTTTGCCATTGCTGTTCATGTTGCATTAGAGCAGACTGATTGGCCATAACCGGTTGCGCAGGCTGTAGTCACAAACAGTTACATTTTTACGTTTAGAGAAAATTTTTCAAAATTAAAGTCATGTAAAATTTAAATTTACCGAGCACCAATCAATACTTCCACCAAGTTCTAGGAAAGATGGTTTAGAAAAGAATTCATTCTGTGCATTATTTGAAACACCGAAAAGGGCCACCGGATTGGCTGGAGGTGCTGAAATTCAATAAAATTATAAATATTAATAATCAGTTTTATTTAATCGACTTTGAAAATAATATTTTATGATTTGTTACTAGAACTGTATTGTGAACTAATTACAGAGGACCAATTATTAGCCACTTGGTCAGATAAAAACCAGTGTATATGCATTCTGACCGCATTTTATAAACACTTAATTTCAAATCAGGTAATTATTCACACGTAGGTTCCTTAGGCAATGCGCTATTTAAAATACAAAATATGGCTCGATATAACTGAGAGCAGGTGGATACAACTTTGGTTGCAAATAGTACTCATTGTATAAGAAACTTAAATTCATGAATAACCAATCCTAAAAAAATACTTTGATTTAAGGTTGCATACATTTATGATCTACCTGTGAGATTTCAATAGATTAGCTAATCACTAATTACTGTCAGGCATTCCTTCACAAGACAGTGTTATTCCCAAGCCATTTTAAGGATGTTAATCAAAGCAAGAAAAATGGGACTTTGGTGGCTTTCCAGTAATCAGTTTGGACTGTGTGTTTTGCCTAGTGTTGGCGTTCTTTGAAATTACTAAATGTATACAATTGAGATTTGAACTTTTCGACTGACATAATGTAAGGAATAAACCTAGACTATTTTGGAAAATGATAAAAGAGGCGCTGAAATAGAGCCAGTTTGGACTCTATTTGAATACCAGCAAAGCAAAAGCTTGTAAAGTTTAAATGAAAAATATGGCACGAAGTTTTGTTCTAATAAAATACATTTATATAACATTGTTCAAAACAACAATGCCACAAACCCACAACAGCAACATTCGACCACTCAATTGGGTATTTTGACTAAACAGAAAGTACATTGTCTCCTAGTTTTTAAGACTGATATTAAAATCTTGGTACATTGTTCCAGCCAAAATCGTCAAATTTGAGATTTTCGGTTTCCAATGGTCCAAAAGTGATCATGAATAAGAAGAGAAGTAGTTTCAAACAGGTTTATTTTATCTTTTATTGAGCAATTTTGAAAGAATAGCTGGAGTCACAGCGCTGCAATTATGCAAGAAAGGAGAAAAGTAGTAATGTTTCACACTTTTTTCACGTAGTTGCTGCCAATAGCTTAATTAAAATTAAGTAACCACGTTATTACCTTTTTCAAAAGAAATAAGGATCCTTTCATTTATTAACCACAGCGTTATTAGCAAACGACCACTTCAAAGTGCCCTTATAGAAAAAAGTCATTATGAAAATTTCCGATTTTACAAAGTGTGCATGAATTGGCATTCAACCAATTTTAATGACTATGCCCCATGAGAAGACAACTTACCCACTTCCTATTTACGCATTAATAAATGAAAATAAAATGGATCGAAATGCGCAGAACTGTTGAATCGCAATTTTCTTACCTTCGGAACATATTATCTGTGGGGTGTGAGCGCATTTATGCGAAATACTAGGGTGGTAATTTTCAAGCTTCTGTGAAAACGTCACTTAATGCCACAAAGTGAATGAGTTGAACATAGATCAGCTGAGGCAAAAGATCAATTTTATTTGTTAAAAATTGTTAACGTCATTGCCGATTACCTCTTTAGCCCACATGCCAACTTGCGCTGAAATTCAGTTCTAAT